AGATAGACCAACCATTAAGGTTGACGACAAATAAATTACAAGGGACTTGAAAAGGAGGAAACTCTTTACTGTAAATAGGCAAAAAGATTATACAATAAATTTTACGACAAAAGAATTGTATTTCCAGATTTCGATACCCTCCCATATGGTTTCGCGTGGAAATACTTTGATTGGATTTTTGTTGTTATAATTAAATATTCTATTGAACCATCAAAAGATTTGTTTCAACCTGTACTACCATATAGAGTAAACAATAAGTTATTTTTTCCCCTTTGTTGTACTTGCACTGAGGAACTATTCCAAACAGGTAGGTACAGAAAACAACTCAGATACTAAATTAAATCGATCCAATGTGTTTAGAATTTCAAGGAAAGATCTAAGTCAGGAAGGATTCGGGATGCCGTGATTGGTGTAAAACTGATGATGATGGGGATATCTACTTTGAAAATTATTGGGAGGATGACCAAAATTTAAGTATAACCCTCTGTTACGTTCCCTATCTAAAGTAATGTTTAATAGTTTCTGGGGAAAATTTGGGCAAAGGGAGAGATAACAAGTAACCAAACTATATGCCCTCTTTAATATACTGACAGATCCAGCCTTGTGTGTTAACAACGTAAATTTTTACAGCGACAGCATAGTTGAAATAAAACATACTATTACTGATGACCAATCCCCTTAGTTAAGAAAGGTGTGCTGGTTGCATTTACCACACTGAATATCAGGCTTAAACATTACGAAATCTTAGATAAACTGCAAAGAATGCTCCACTACGATACAGTATCAATACAGACCCTGGTATGATTTTCACCAATAAACCCAAAGAATGGGAATCCCTGTTAATAGGTGACTACCTAGGGGAGTTAACCAATGAGACTGATTTAAAGGAGGAGAATTTTATAAAACGGTTTGTTTCAAGGGGGCCTAGGAATTATGCCTACACTGACAAGACAGTATGTAGGTATGTTTAAAGTTAGCATTCTTACCCTTAACTACATGAATACCAATTTGGTAAACATTAATTACAGTAGATGAAAAAGTTATTGTGTACCGTAGAAGATTGGCCAATCATTAAGGTTGATGACAAACAGGTAGTTAAGGATGCGAAGAGAAACCTTTTCACTGTAGATAGGCAAAAAAAGAGTATAAAATCTTATTGTAAAAGCATTTTTTAGTTTACATGGGCTAGGAAGCATTTAGGTATATTGGTGATGCAGGAGAGTCCACACCAACTTCAGCGCCACCACCATGTTTTGGGCTGAGGTTGCGATTTTTTAGGATTTTGTAACCGATAGAAACAGTAGGCTTCTTTCTCAACTGTTAGGAAATGAAGAAAACAGTAATTTAAACTCTAGATTGAGCTCTGTTTTAAAGCATAGAAACTAAGGATTTATCGCTAGGGATTATCAACTTAGAAAAAGGTTTAATTTCAAGGCAACTGAAATCATCTTTTACACTAACGAGTCCATTTTAACTAAAAAGGGGAAAGGCAGACACAAAAGACTATTCAGGATTAAGAATGTTACAAAGTAATGTTGGATACCAAAAAAGGATAAACAGAAGATTACCTATTGAGCGTGGGATTTTAAGGAAAACAGGCTGCTCCCCCTAATTTACTTAACTGTCTAAATAGAAAATTACCTATTGTTCAAAGGATTTCAAGGCAAAAAGGCTATTTTTGCCTGTACAATGCCGTAATACGGCCTTGTTGAAAACACCATTGAGGTGATTAGGTGTTTCCGTATTAAATATTTCCCCAGTTTTTAAATATTCAAAATTATGTATCTCATTAACTGCTTCTAAGTTTTTCATCAAATATGCTTTTTAAAAAAAAAATCAGTTCTTAACAAAATACCTAAAAGAAAAAAAGTTTTCCGGAGCCTGACTTTAAATGGAAATAATAATATTATGACAGCATGGTAAACTAGTTTTGCTTTATTTTTTTATGGAGTTTCCACAAGCTTACAAAAATGATAACGAATGTGGTTACGTCTATCATCAAATGTTTAGACAACCCTCCCCCTATAGTTGCATATTTGTCAATGTAGGCAATTCATGCCTTTTGCATGAATCAAGAATCATATTTAGCTTGTACAGCATATTTTCAAGTCTTTTTTAGGCACGCATCACGATAATGAGGATACTGACGTATTCGTATTCCTTATCATTTTCGTAAGGTTGTGAAATCTCCCTAATGTGGCATAGAATTCTGTAAAATAATAGTTATATTATTCGAGGTTCAGTTATTTTCTCTTATCTGCTTTTTTATCTGCTTATCACAAAATATAAATAATAAAGATAATAAAGACTGCATAGCCCTATCAAGTAACTGACCATAATTTCGCAATAGTGTATATTGGTTTGCGAGGGAACTTACACATCACATATTTAATCATTATTTAAGGTTAACAAAGAATAAAAGTAAAAATTGATGATGCCATACCATCTAGAATTACATCAAGGTACATGAAACACAATGCGATACGAAAGGTTGAACCCAACAGTGAATAGGAAAATGCGGATTAAATGTGAACGATCTCAGGATCATGGAGACTGCAAAAAACAAAAACAAACATAAGGTAAGGTAAGAAATTCAAGCAATTTTTATATAAGTCTATAAAAAATAGGAGGAATGATAAGGAGAAACTAACAAAAAAAAATCACTTACATTAACTGTATTAAATATAGCAGTTGTTTCCGTGTACTCTTCATCAATGGTTTAATCTGATTGACAGTTTGTGTCATCTACGGTTGCCAATTTCTCTCTACTAGTATCTTTATTGTCGAAGTCGAAACAGTTGAATGTTGGAAATTTGTCTACCAGCTATCGGGACAGAGAAAATAGTGTACTAACAAACCAAGAAACTTGTAATATTTATTTTATTTAAATATTTGAACTTACACCTTTAGATCGGTGGCACTCAATGACAACTGGTGCGTAAATAAAAAGGTACAAACTTAACTCAACCAATACATAAGGAAAATAAGTATATAAAAAATATACATAAACACACAAACCCTTAACTAAAAACAAGTAAAAATCACAGAAATGATAGAGCAGGTAGTATATACTATAGCAGGTATACTGTAATATTATATTAAGACTGTTTTCCACATCGTAACTTTTACATTTCCACTACCTTAGTCGAAATTCACTCAGAATAAAAATATAATAGGAATAGTCTTCTTTACTGTTTAGGACCAATAAGAGCAAGAACCGATAACTTCCAGTATTGGCAATGTACATCAAAGTTAATTCTTTTTCCTGCACTAACATATCCAGCAGAAAATTAAACCCTGCTACAAAAGAAGTAATTAATGGAGTAGATATAGAAAGAAAACGCCTATGTTTATACCAAAATAATAATAATAGAATAAAACTTACCAAACCTCATTGGGCTTTGATCAGCAACATAATAATTGATCTGTAAATTTCTTGAGCATTAGAATATCGTTCTCACTTTTTCCCGTTCCTAGTAGCGCACTCTAAAGTCCAGTTTCTTTTTCCATCAGCAAACACTCTGTTCATAATAGCGAGAACTGAGGGCGGCTCATGCCAATGCCCAATTACAAGCTTGACATGTCCACGGATTTCATACACAGACTGTTCACAATAAGATCTACCTCGTTATTTTTCTCTTCTTCCATACCATTTAAATATTCAAACTGCAATAACAGAAAAAACATTATCACTGTATGTTATATAATATGATTGATAGTTTTCGATAGATTACAAATGTAAAGTCAATTTATCTTCATTAAATTCATGATCTATCTGTTCATCTATATAGCTTCCTTGTTTTCCTTTATCAAATTTTCTACAAATTTAATAAACAGTACATGTATTGGTAAATATGATTTTATTTAGTCTTCAAATTCATTACTATAAAAAATAATTACTTGTTAATTTGATTAAAAACTAAAACTTACCAGTTCATTCTCACCATTCAGAACTTTCTGTTCTTCGGTAAGATTTCTGTATGAGTTCATCTTCATCAAAATTTACATCGTAATCGTAAGATTAGAAGTCAACTTGATGTAGTTGGAAATCTGATGTTCTGACATGACTTCAATCTAAGGTCTATATCTATAATGATAAGTCAATGTGTAGTGGTTGCTTCTTATTTCTTTCACATCATAAGCCACCGTCACCATATTTCAGTCACTGATTACTCTGAACCAATGGAAGTGGTCTTTTCATAATGTACTTATCAATCAATATCACCTTACTTATACAAACTATACAAAAAAGCTAATCAACTTCCTTTCATATACTGACACCACTGTCTACACTTTTGACAATCTTATTGTTTCAATTTTATTGAATACCTGACACACATTTGTTTAACCATGGAGGAATTAGTTTAGGACTCCATGGTTTAACAATCCCTAATAAGTCACTTAATCCCCTTTGTTTCAATTTTAACACCCCTATTGTTTTTTTTTTATGTGTGATGTCAATTTCTATAGTGCCCTAGAGAAAATCTGCTTTTTTTCTCTTTACAAAGAGAGGTTTGAAGAGGGTAGGCCTACTTGAAAAGGGTACGATTAAATTTGTTCTTATTGTGCCTTGTCCCCCTTGCAAGAGGCATGGTATAAATTCCTGTATTATTATTTAAATTATAATGGTTTTCTCATCATAAAATGTTATCATCAAAATCCCATATTGTTCATTAATTCCCTCATTAAGGCTTTTGCCAGGCCTTTGGCTGAATCTCCTACCAATCAGAGACCCTAAAACACAAAAAACATGATTCTGCATATGATGCAATATTGTTTTTACAATACAATATTTTTACAAATTGTCAGCGTGAAACTACATACTTTTTTTTCAAGCTTCTGTATGAACTAATAGGACTACAGTACAGTACATACAAAATCTGAACTTTAAATGGAACTTGTTAGATAATAAGAATGAATTTAAAAACAAGAGAATAAAGTTCAGAAACAAAGTTCTATAGACTTGAATTTGTTGCCAAACCTCAGAGGAATTCCTAATAGAGGAAGCCAATTTTACTGCTAATGTTGAGAAGATTATTCCAAATTAACATCAATTTCCTGCTAAATATGGATTATTTCCAATTATAGAATTTATGCTATTTTCACTAAAGTCACAAGGTGAATTAATTGTTGCCAAGAGTGGGGAGGGAAGGTTGGGTCTGGCCACTTGCTTGCATTTCTTGCCAATGCATGTTATCAATTGTTCTCTTCACTTCAACCAGGTGTATTTGACCTACTGGGGAACAATTTGATGTGTATATATAGGCTTACATTGGCAGTATGAACTATTATATTGACATATTATTCACTGTGGATACAAATCTACTACCCTAAAAAAACCTTAAAAAAAAAAACTATGACAATTTATTAATAATTGAGTGGATAAAATCTGACTTATTGCTGAAGTTTTGGAGACATGGAACTGTGGTTATTATTCCTCAGGGATTTTTTTGCTAAACTTTTGGTGAACCTCTTAACTTTTCCACTTTATAATTTAAATACTGTACTGAACACAGTATAACTATATATCAGAACAGAATATCTAGAGTACAGTCTCAAATTGGGAGAAACCTGTTAAAAGAAATTGGTAGAGCAACCTTTCCTAATTAAGAGAGAAGAAAATTGTGATAAACGTCGATGGAACCTGGTTTGAATTCCCAATGTGAATTTGGGATATGGGAGATACCATCCAGCTAGCTAAACTTGTCACAATTTGAAAGAGGTACATTATTGCTGGATAGAGGCGTTTTGTGGAACGCCGGTTAAGATATGTGGGGTTGGTGGGTGGGGTGGAAAGAAGACCTTATTTAATGCAATAGTATAGTATACATGGACCATGGTTATGTGATGCAAATTTTATCAGGAAGAATCAAGCCCTATATAGTCACTTCACTTTCGCAAATTTTAATTCTCCTCGATATGCAACTGTATACCTCTAGTTTGTACAGGCATCAGTATCTGCAGTACAAATGTCTACAACTTCCTCATATAGTAAATTGCTTCACAAGTATAATACAGTACACATCAACATCTGTCAGGTCATCACAAAAAATAATACGGAACAAGTGACCGAGGCATATACTGCTGTGTGGCTACAATTATGTCCACTTGGCTACCTGGCCAAAGGCATACTACTAGCCAGGTCATTGTGATAAATGCTAAGACAAAACTAATTTTGTTGCAATCAAAACCAATTCAAGATGCACTTGACAGTTTGTACCTGAACTGAAAACTGTTTTGGTCTGTAGACAATCAATTGCCCTGTAACTTCTTAGGTCTAAGTTTGATTGATACATACTGTATGGGCTCATGAGCTGAAAATTACCAATAGGAAATATTTATATCACTATTTTAAGTACAAGTGGAAATCCCTTATGAACAAGAGAGGAAGTGATTTGGCTAATATACCAAAGGACAATTTAATAATGTTGCATATATCCTTTTTGAACCAATATATTATTATTCAAATGTAGATATACTATTTTCAACTTTTAGTTCAATTTTGAAATTATTGAATGTAGATAAATTATATATTTAATATTCCTAAACCAATTTCATTGTCTTTTTAAATGTGGCAAAGACAAGCTAAACCAGTCACTCGTCGCAAATCGTTTTTTAGAGAAAATGGCCAAAACATGCTGGAATGTCAAATTTAAAAAATCTATTTTATTGCACTAAACTAACCTTTATATATCTATACATCATTTTATGCTGTTCTCCCCATTTTCAATGTTAAAACAACATTTTTTAAGGATTTGATGATAGTTTCTGCAAGAGAAATGCCTGAAATCAAACTTTGAAGGCCGATTTCTCATATATTGTTCTTTAAACAGCTATGTTTAAACGCTTGTAACTTCATAAGGAAATGTCCGATTTGAATGATTTTTTTACCATTATATAGCTATTATTTTACTCTCTAACATTGTATTAATAACTCAAAATCGATTTTAGCGACGAGTGACTGGTTTGGCTTGTATTTGCCACAAATTCTTTCCTCATCATTTTGACCAATTAGATCAACCATGGTTATTCTGTATTGTAATTTTTCACAAATTGTAATTCTTGTTCTTGTTCTTACCTTTGTTTTTCTTTTTATATAAACCTATTTTGTACAATTGTCAATGTTCTCCTTTTGTATTAAGACCTCAAATGGTATTCCTTAGTTAATTGAGATAATGTCATATATTTGTTGTAATATATTTTTGTAAATTATTATTATATTGTATTTTAAATCTGAATTAACAGAATAAATCTAAACTAAACTTTACAGTTAATTTGTGAATTTTACAGTCTAACCCTTGTGTGACGAGAACAATAGATTTTAAATGAATTTTATGATGACATCATCATGGCGATGATGAAATATATATTCCTAAGGGTACAGAAATCCATTAAAACAATGCCACGCTGTCCACTAGTTATGACTTATTATACATCTATATCATAGTTTTCAAAATACTGTATATGTTTTCTATAGGGCCATTCGCTCTAAATCTAATGATTGTATTCTTCCAGCAAGACTTTTACGGTATCTGTGAATAGAGCGAGAGGGATGGAATCACTCGGACAAAACATCCCATAAATGGATACAATTTAGCTATTGTTGACTCCCACATGTAAATTTTAATTCGAGAACGTTTCATTTTTTTACATATGTGGCAAAGACACGGCCAAACTAGTCACTCGTCGCAAGTCGTATCTCAGAGATATTGGCCATGCTGAAATGTCAACATTTTTAAAATCTATTTTATTGCATTAAACTAACTTTTATATCTATACATCATGATATGCTATTGGATTAAATTGATTCTTTTACCATTGTATAACTCTCATTTTACTGTTTAACCCTGTATTTATAACTAAAAATCTATTTTTGTGATGAGTAACTGGTTTGGCTTGTCTTTGCCACATATACTCGGAAGACTAAATTTGATAGTAATTTAGTTTACTTTTTTGGAATCCCCTCTCGGCACCATTTTCACTTGTAATTTTTGTTTTGTTGTTGAGCCTGTTTTATGAGTAAAATGAAATAAAAAAAAATCATAATTTATTAGTTCCTATTTCAGAATGAGAATGTGAAAGTGATCTGCATTTTCCTTTCAAGATCAAGGTCACAGGAATTGTAACTGTCATAACACAATGCATGTTTCCTAATATTTTGAAATTCAGACCTCAGTATTTAAAACAATTAATTTCATATTTTAATATTCTTTACGCAAACATTTATAATGGGTACACATTCATAACAGTATCTTGAAAAAACAAGAGAGTTAAATACATGGTGATCCTCTTGTGTGCAGGTTTTAGAATTTATTTTAACATTGAATGTAACTTTAAAATGGCTTGTTACAACTATATTTGTATATAAAAATACATGAAATGATAGTATGTTTGTAAAAATATTTTCAAGGCCTATAAGCATCAGAATACTTTTTTATAATATTTCAATTCATAGTTTTTTTTTATTAATAGGATTGATTAATAGAATTAAAAAGGAAATTAGGAATCCATCTGTTGGCTCTGAAGCTTTTGCATTCATGGGTACCTGGAAGGATATAGAATTAAAAGGAAAAAAAAAAAACACTTCTACCTATAACTATGGTTAGCGCAGCAGTTGAATTTCAATTTCTTAACCTCAAGGTCGGAGGTTTGATACTTTGCTGTACATTTCACTTGTGTCCTTGGACAAGGCACTTTACCTACTCACAATTGTCTCTCTCCACCCAGGAGTAAATAAGGCGGCATGGAAAGTACTGGCCACCCTACCACACAATTCTGAGGCTTAGTATGATGGGCTAACAGCTTATTCCCCTACATTCATAAACCTTTACCTTTCCACAGAATAGAATCACAATAATGTGATAAAATTGATTGCATTATTGAGCTTGAGTGTCCGGTCCATGACCAGAAGAATCCACAGGCACTTCTCAAACCATATAAAGAAGGTGCTATTTATCACTTTTTATAACTAGGGAGTATAAAAATGGATTCGTCCATAGTAGGCCACCTGTTATATGCGCAGCCCACCCTACAGTCATTATTTAAAAGTTTGATTTTGTTTATATAAAAAAATTGAATCTCAGCACTATTAATTATGTTTGAATTAATATAGAAGCAAATTGAATCTCGGCACAATGTACTTACACACATTAAATTTTGATATTCACACGGTTTTTATCTGAAGTATCCCAAGAGAACAAGATGCTAAAATTATTAGGAATAGCTTACATACTACAAAATTTCTATTTAATTATTCAATATCTTTAAAAAAACATTTATATCACAGATCAAGGGAGTAGATTACAGTTTTATAGGTTCTTAATCTAGCAGTATTAGACTATCGGTCATGAAGCAGTAAGC